CAAATCTGCAATGGATTTAGAAGAATCAGCTATGATATCACCTAAGAACATAGAACAGGGGAACTCCACTGTATTAGATTTTGATTTCTTGACAAATGACCAAAAACCATTACTATTAACAATAATATTCTGCTCAACACTTCGAATATGACTTTTCCTACACAAGTTCATAGCCAACTTACATGTACGTCTAAGATCACAAAACTTTACGTAATCTGAATATAATCCAGTTACCTTAAAATTCCTATGAACTTCTTTTTTTTCACAATAAGAGATCTTGTATGGTTATCAACCTAATAAGGAAAGTTGTTCTGAGTTTTTTTAACAACAATAGGAACAAAACGAGTTATAAGAGAATTTATGTGAGAATAAAAATAATACATACAATCATCAAGATGAGAAAAATTTTCCATGGTAAACCAATCAATTTGCTCCAGGTAGGTAATTACATCAAATGACGCGTTCTTAAAATCCAAATGAGATGTGTATATAGCACGATCTAGTAAAGGCAAGAATATGTCACTAATTTTAATAATAAAGGCAGGATGATTTATATCTTTCGGTAATAAGGATAAACATCCTTCAATGATAAGTGCAGTATTACTAAAGCTTAAATCCAAAATTACATCATTTCCATTCAATACAAAGTTGTATTGAAAAAGACCACTCACAGCGAAATTGTCACAAATTAATTCTTCAATCATTGAAACAACGTTAACAGGTATTAAATAATTACAATTAGTATCACTTTTCCAGCTCAATCCAGGCAAATTGTAATCACCAACAATACATACTGTAGTTTCAGGATAATCAGCAATTAAAGAATCAACCAAAGATATATGGTCAGAATATACAGCTAAGGGTGAATTAGGAGGAAAATACGCAGTTCCAATTATAATTTGAATGCCATTAAACGAGATTAGTATCAAAACTTCTTCTCTTTGAAGAGTATCAATTTGCAGTAAAGTAGAAGGAATATTCTTTATAACAGCTATCATTACACCACTACCACGTTCTTTATTCGTCTCTAAAAATGATCTATCCTTTCTGTAAACAACATATCTATCATCTATAATTTCCCTATTAAAAAATGTGTCATTAAGCCAAGTTTCTGTTAATGAAATTATCTGATAGTTCTCACACAATACATTAGAATATAAATCACTGATTTTAGTTCTCAACCCTCTAACATTCTGATAATAAATAGTTAACTCTGAGTTTGATGAACTGGACTTTTTTGAAAATTTGATTGTCTTCGTACACTACGAGGACTAAAATATTTACGAACAGCAATACCGATTGGCCAAAAAGATGGATCCAAATTTTTTTCAATTAATCCTTTTTGATTTGATCCTCTTTTCTCTCCCTTTTCTTTACCTATTATTCTTGTCCCCTTATCACCCAGTCTTGCGTTAAAATCCCCTCCTACAAGTATTTTTTCATCTCCTTTTTCTTGTGTTTCTATTTCTATGTTTATCCTGGTTTCCTCTATTTTCTTGCTATAAATGGTTATTATTTCCCATCGATTGTTTTCTAGCTGAATTACTTTCTTCATTAGTCCGTTTTATTATTACTTCCCTTTTCCAATTCTTGCATTTCTTCTCGAATTCCCATTATTATTCCTCCGCTTACTCTGGTGGTAGTGTTTCTTCAAATTTTTCCCAGTTTTCTTTTTGTCCCATGTCTCTACTAGCCTCACCACATCAAATTTTCCCACGTAGTACCAGAACTCCTTTTCTTTTTTTCGCAACCCTTGGACATGCAAAACAGTCCCTTCACCCCTTTTTCTCCTAATTTTGTACCAGTTTCCCTTTTTCGTATTTCCCTATCTGCATTCTTTATTCCTTTTCTTTTTCCTTTGCCTTGTTTCATTCCATTTTTCCTGCTTTTCTTCCTTTTTTTTTGCTTTTTACTAAAATTTTTCTACCTTCTTGGGTCTACCCTTTTCTTCACTCCATTCAAAATTTCTATCTACAGTTAACTTTTTATATCCCATTCTAACCATTTTTCCATTATTTCTCTTTTGTTGCCTCTTCTTTTATTTTGATTTAAATTTTTCTTTCCGTTTTCATCAGATCATCCTTTATGTAAATTGACGATCCTTTTAAGTTCTTCTTGTTTTTCATTACATTTATGTTTCTTTCTCTATTTTCGAATTCCACGACATAAACTTTCTCTGCAATTTTGTACGCGCTTTTAACTTTACTCTCTACTTTGGCTTTCTCTTCTAAAAATTTTGTCACATTTTCAATTATCTGCTTCTACTCCCCTGTCCTATTTCCAATCCCGTCATCACTACTTTGTTTCTTCTCTTTTCTCTCTCCATTCGATCTAGTTGACTTTCTACTTCACCCACTCTCTTTCCCATTTCTTCCATAGCCCGCTTCCATTCTTCAAGTTTATCTCTAATTTCTTGATTTTGCTCCTGTAGTTGATCTCTTGCTTGCTTTAATTCTTCTATTATTGTTCTAAGCTCCTCTTTAAGCTGTGTATCCCATTCCTTCAATAATAATTGTTTATTACTTTCTCTCATATCATCTCTGATTTGTGTCGCAAGTTCGCTGATCATCTTCTTTACCTCCTCCATCTCTATATCTCCTTGATTTTGCTTCTTTGGAAGACCTGCTCTTTCTCTTCGGGCGACTCTACTTCTCTATCCTTTTTCTTTCTTTCTGTCCCTTCATTACTCATTAGTTCTTTGTTTCCAACTTCCTTCACGGCGGAAGGATATAACCCAGGTCGTCTCTTCGGAGGTTATTCTCCTATCCGTGTTTACGTTTATCCGATATTTCCATCTATACAAAATTTTGTATCTCTATAATCAATTATATCAATAATTATCTTCGCAATTAAAATACGCAGGTAATAAATCATGATATTTGACCTGGCCATCCATGTCATTTGAATAAATTGTTAAACTGGAAATTTATATTAAAGCCTCGATTTTGTACGTTCAACTTGCTGCTACCCGAGCATCATCACTCATCAGCTGTGTTTAATTCCTTGTTTTTTTTTACTTTGTTTTATTCCTGTCCATCCCTCCATCTTAAAGATAAACGTAATGTGATAAATCTAATAGTAATTAGAACTATCGAAATAACAATATATGCATATAAAAATGGCATCACATAACAGTGGTATCAAAACGAAACAGCGCTAATTAAAATTCCAGAATAATTTTTCGACAAGACTTTGCAACTATTTAAAAAAGCTGAGAAAAGTTTTACAGTCTAAAGGGTAAGCTTCCGCGTCTAAAACTTGAACTTTTCGAAACCACCATTTGCTCTTTCCCGAATTACATTTCTGGAACAGCGGGTCGACCCTCGTTTCGTCCTTTCCTCACTTTGTTTTCCACACCTAGGGATATATCTAATAAGTTCTCGGCTCGAACAAAAATTGATTTATATGTAGCCAGCAGATGTAATTAAAAAAATCATAATAATTTTTCATCAGATTCATTAAGTTGTCCATAATCCTCTGAGATACCGGGCCGTTTTTTATAGCTTAATTTCTGAACAAAATGGGATTCCATTAAAGATAGTAGCAGATTTTGTTGTAATAATGGATATAAAAGCTTTGAAATTAAAAACAAATGTAAATGCAGCCAAAAAAATTTCAAGTAAAATATTATCGCCAGTTACGTCAAAAAATATCATAACTAGGATTAACTGTTAAGACCTACTTTAAGGTTGGAATATTGGTTCCACAAATATTCACAAAACTCAGTAGTTTGACGAAAGCTCGTCTCTGCGACCTAAGTACGTACATCTAGTTCAGGCATTGCAGCGAAAGTTATATGTTTATCCGAATTTAAAAAATTCTGTTTATTTAATGCCCATTTATTACTACTTAAAATGCCTAATTTACCGTTAGAGACCTAAAGTGTTAATTAAACGACCTAATTGTAAATTTTAAAAGACTAATAAAATAGGATTCCACGACCAACGAAGCGGACGTGCTTGTACAATAGAAATTTTCCGTGAATTCATTGTTTTGGCTGGCAGATTGTTTAAAAATGGGTTGTAAACAACGCCCTTGAGTTTAGTGGTACGGGTTGGTGTCGCCAATTGACAACGCTGGCCTGCATTTTATTTAGATTATAGACGCAAAGAGGTGAATCTCTGAAAAACATTTTATTTTAGAAGTTTATTGTTAGTGATAGTGAGTCTCTTTGCGTGTTAGTGAGTGTACTGGGGCCGGTTTTGATTTTTGTGCATATAGTAAAGAATCCTCAAAATGCCTAAGGTAAAATCAATTTCCTTCTTAAACCAAAGACAATGAGTTATTCTGCAAAGTGTGTGGAAAACTTGTAAGTAAACATTTAAAATACTGAAGCTTGAATTATGTTCACATTTTTGTTTCCTAGTTTGAATTAGTTCCGACAATGATTTTACGCAATTTTGCACCAATTTATGTAGGGCATTTGCCGCAGCAAATATTCCATGGAATAAATTAGTTGTCCTGAGTTTAAAAATTGTATGCATAAATATACAGGAAAGCATTTACCCTCAGAAAATACTCTGAAAAAAAAATTACCAAAAGATTACGATATGGTGAGCACTAGAATTTTTATTTAAAAACTTTTTAACATAAATTTTATAATTTACAGGTAATTAAACAAATTAGAAATTCTATTGGCAATAATAATATTCGGATTAGAGTCGATGAGACGACGGACAGATTAGGAAGATACATAGCCCATTTAGTAATTGGAAAGTTATCTTCTGAAGAAGCTGGGTCCATTTCTACTAGCTTAAAAGCAGCTTGATAAAACTAATAGCAACACAGTCTCGAGATTTATAAACAAATCATTGGGTGTGCTATTGATAATTTTAAGCATTGAAATTATTATAATTTATTTAATTGTTAATTTGTAGCTTTATTGTGACCAAAAGTAACTGAACACAAAAAAGTTAAATGGTTTGTATCAGATGGTGCTTCATACATGATCAAAACTGGTACTAATTTGAAGGTGTTTTATGAAAATATAACACACTTACCATGTATGGCACATGGGTTACATTTAGCGTCTGAAACAATTAGATTGAATTATCCAGATGTCAATGAGATGATTAGCAATGTTAAGAAAATCTTTTTAAAAGCACCAGTAAGAGTAGAGTTTTATAAAAACAGTTTACCAAACGCACCTCTCCCACCTGAACCTGTATTAACCAGGTGGGGCACTTGGATTCAAGCAGCCTTGTTTTATACAGAACACTTTGATGTTTTAAAACAGGTCCGTAAATATATAATGGTTTTTTTACTATCATTCTTATATTGAATATTTTTAGGTTGTAATGTAATTTGAAGCCACAGATCCACAGAGCATTAAAAAAGCTCAAGAATTCCTGAATAAAGCAAACGTTAAAATTGAACTCTTGTACATTAAAACTCACTTTAACATTATTGCTGATGCAATAGAACAATTAGAAACTATAGGTTTAAAATTAAACCAAAGTATGGAAATTGTAGAAAAAGTGTATACATCTTTAAAAAACACACCAGGAAAGGTGGGGGAAATGGCGTTCCAAAATTATGTTCTCTATTAAAAAAGAATCCAAGATACGATTTTATATGTTCAGTAAACAACGTAATTTGCGGTAATGGAAATGTTACGAACAATACATACGTAAATGTAGATTGTTCAATATTTAATTTTGCACTCATCACTTCTTCTGATGTGGAACGCACGTTTTCAAAACTTAAAAGTGTTTTAAGCGATCAAAGGTGTAAATTTACAATCGAAAATTTAGAGAAATATATAGTTTGCTTTTGTAACTCATTTTAAATACCTGAATTAATATTTTATTTTTTGTTAAATGCGACTTGCTTTAATTTGATCGCCATTTTTTTGTGATAACTTAGAATTAGTCGACGTAACTATAGATCGTTTATTTATTTAATCATTTTTTTGTTTGTTACGCAAAATATTTGTTTCTATAATGTTTTGTTTAATGTTTTTTTAATATATATTTTTTTGATGTATGCTTTTTCGTTGAGCAAATATTTTTTCCTCCAGGTTTTTAACCTAAACTAAGATTTTTATAACCTAATCATAAATTTACACAATATCTACCTTTTCGTCATTCGAATACATTTTCTTTCGAAATACGCATGACAGAAATTGACAAATTATCACAAAATTTAGTACATTTTGATGCCAAATTTGAATGTTTTATAAAATATTTATTTTTATTAGTTTTGTGTCTTATCTAAGCAGTCGCAGATAAAATGTCGTATGTATAAAATGTACAACACTCGTTCTACGAATTCGTCGTGGCAGACTCCACACTCGTTGTGTAATGATGCTTCTACTCCACTTGTGATGTAAATAACTATTAAGTAGCTCTTTAACATTTTTAATTTAAAAACTCCTAGCGCTTCGCTTCAGCGTTCTTGAGCAACTCTACATCAAAACTCCAACAGGTCATTAATTACAAAATTTTCAGTAATCAAATAATCAAAAATATGCTATATACTTTGTTATTTTATTAATTGAAAATTGTACATCAGACTTCATTAATTATTCAACCCTGGTACATTTAATTACTTCGAATTAATGGAATCAACATCAAATTTTGTCGTTTAATTAACAGTGCACATAAAATAAAAACACAACTTTAGTTAAATATTATTACTTGAAGGTTTTCGCCCATCGCTTCGATAAAACACCGCAAAATATGATTTTCTGCTAAGTACCATCGCGCTTTGGATGCAGGCTTCCATGATTTAATTCTAATGCAATTAGGGTGGCTGCACAAGGAGTGTCACACAATTCGATTAGCCGAAGCTGCTGCTAAATCGAGGGTTAGCAATTAACGTCCTCAAGCTTAATCAATTATGGAAAGGGTAAAAATGTCACTTATCTCGCCATTTCGTGACGTCACGAAATAAAATCAAGATCTAGCAAATTTAGCAACCCCGAATCGATGACACGCTGAACGAGACGGGTCAAGGATTCCCCCGAGAACCTATCAAAATTCGAATTTATTGATTGTCAAAAACGATTGTAGTTGCATATTTTATAAAGACATGGAAAGTATCGTGCACAACATTAATTACGTTTGTTTTTTCTCTAAATTAATTATTTTTAGCATTTGAAAGGATTTTTTGGATCTAGCGTCGGGGTGTCGATGCACGGAAAAATAACGCCGTCCTTGCATATTTTAAAAGTCTAGATAAATGAGTTTGGGGTTAGTTTATTGCCAAACCTACTTATGTCGACAAAGTTTAAATTTGATTTTGCTACCAACCTTATAAAAGCTAAGACGTAGCAACTTGCGTATTGAGAGCTTGGAGAAAAAAGCTCAGCTTGTCTAATGGACATTAATTGAAACCTGCGTGTTACTAGATTTAAACGAACTAATCTACTTGTAGTTATATCACGATACATATACAGAAGTTGCAAAACGTAACATACCCGCTCTCCATACACTCCGCAAACTTTTCCTAGACACTCACTTGGGAAATTAAATTTGACAGAAGTAAACTACAAGTGAAATAGTAACGACGTCATAGGATACATCCACTTAACTCAATTTTTAGAGGATCGGAATTGTTTGATATTTTTTGGTCGACAGCAAGAAGAAGTGAACGCATGTAAAATGCAGCCAGAATAATATGTTCCTCTACCGATACGCGTCTCTCTCTCTCACTCACATATGTGAACTGCAAAAGTGGCAAACCTGTCTTATCTTTCATAAGTTAGGAATCGAATTCGTGCGGATCTGAGGAACTGAAATAATATGAGCTGGGCCTCATTCTTAGATTCATCGTAACTCCTCAGATCTATAATAGAACTGAGAAATAATTTGACATTTTTTTTATAATTTGCCTTGCATTTAACATCTAACCTCAATAGATCTAAGAATGCTTATTCCGGACCAGGGGGGTTTTGAAATCAAAAACTACATATAACTAGTATACAGGGTTATGATAAAACGTATCAGGCCTTTCATTTTACTCTCCATATTTTGACATTTGTCAAAAAACTTTATCAGATTTGTATTCATGTTAACAACACTACAGTGTTTTACATACGTCAATTTAGAGATTTAAAAAAACAAAATAGTAATAATAAATAAGGACAATAGATACACATACACATCTACAAATACACACTATAAAGAAAACAGGTTGAAAGAGATAATTTACATTATCATGTCGCACATGAAGAATTCGTCAGTTGTGAAAAGCGCTTTTTTTAACAGATAGTTTTTAACTGTTAGTTTGAATTTATTATTAGGTAGGACTTTCACATATTGGGGAATTTTATTATAGAATTTTAAGGCTATATAATTCGGACTATTTTGGGACTTTGTTAGCCTATAATATGGGGTACATAGCTCAGATTTTTTTCGTGTATTATAGAGGTGGATATCGCTATGTGTTTTGATGTCTTTCAAGCTGCCCCTGACATACATCAGACTCTCCAATATAAAAAGACATGGAAGTGTAAGTATGTGATATTGCTGAAACGCTGTTCTACACTCTTCCCTGTAACCTAGCCCACTGATTATTCGGATTGCTTTCCTTTGCAGACCAAAAACCCTGTGGCTGTTTGCAGCCATACCCCATAATAAGATGCCATACGAAAAGATAGATTGACATAGTGAAAAATAAGCACAGCGCAGTACTCTACTTGATACTTTGTTCGCTAAGTTTCTTAAAATATGAATATTTTTTCTCAATTTATCACATGTATATTGTATATGTGATCCCATTTTAAAGTTGGGTCTAAGTACATGCCTAAAAATTTTATTTCACTATTCTCAGAATTCCCTGTATCTCTCAAAGAGAATATGGCACTAACTGTCTTCTGAGCATTTAGCATTAGTTTATTAGCAGTGAACCAGTTTAATGCTTTCGATTGTATCTCGCACATTTCTTGCTTAGCTTCATTAAGATTGGTATCTTTACAATATATAGTTGTGTCGTCTGCAAATAATATATATTTTTCACGATTTGCAATGTCAGGGAGATCATTAACATAAATTAGGAATAGTAGAGGTCCTAAAACAGACCCCTGAGGTACTCCATTTTTTATTTCTCGCCTAGATGATAGTTCATTTTCGATTTTAACCGTATGGTGTCTATTGGTCAAGTAGCTAGATAGTAGTTTGATACTGTTTTCTGAAAAGTTATATTTCCTTATCTTCTTAAGCAGAATATCATGCGAGACACAGTCGAAAGCTTTACTTAGGTCACAGAAGGTGGTACACATGAATTCTCGATTTTCAAATGTCTCTAGTATATTGTTTACTAAGCTTGAGATAGCGGTTATGGTATTCCGTGTTTTGCGAAACCCGTATTGTAAAAGTTATGACGTCATCAATGATTTTTTTAAATAGGAAGGTATAATTTTGATTGCATTATTTGGTAAAAATCCCCAACTTTTATGCATCCCAAAAGCACCCAAGGATCTATAGACTATCTAATTGCCTTAAAGGATAAAAAAAAGATTACAAATTCGCTTGTTTTCTGTCACCCAAAAATGGAAAAGGATAAAAAAATTGGGATATGGAACAACCAAAAAGAGCCCAAAATCGTTAATTTTTATCGACCTCAAAGTACATCAAGATGTATAGCCCACCAAAAATTGGGCATACAAAAGAATGGTTGAAAATTACCCCAAAAATTTACTAAATCTCTTGATTTCAACCACTCCAAATTTCTGGACACATGCAGAAAGAAGGAAAAACAACATCAAATCAATGAGGGATAGTTGTTCCGCCTTAAAATACTTGAAGTAATAGACTAGTTTCATTAATTTTACAATTCAATAAATTTTTTACCAAATCTTTCTTTATTTTTCTAATAAGTATTTTCATTTCCCTAATGAATACACTTCATTCAATATATCGTATCAATTCTTGTAGGACCCAAAATATATAAATTATCATTTCCGGACTACTGTGGCTTTGGTAATTACGAAAATTGCTACGATCATCAAAAAAATCGAAAACCATATTAAAATCCTTGTTTCCTTGAAGAGTTAGACATGTAATTAAGGGGTCTATTTTGTAATTTATCGCTCCAGAACGATCTCGTTCCCAAACGATAATCGTTAGAAGCAATCGTAAAATCAGTTTAGCGAGATTGTACAAATTTCCAATTTTATAAACACTATCGTAATCGTAAAGCTTTGAAATCGTTAGCGGAACGATGAATCTAATGTTTTTAGAATCGGTAGTATTTAAATTTGTGTAGCGTCTAGATTACGTTGTTCTCTGTTGTGACATGTGACATTTGTTTTGCTACTGATTGAAGTTTGGACAAATTTGTGAACTTTATAACATGTAAGTAAACAATAATTATAAAAGAAAAACATCAAAATAATCACACTAACACGAAATTCAGTTTACAATACGTTCACGGGAGCAGTGGAAAAACGTAAAAGGGCCCAGCGTATTACCCAAGAGTAACATGAGTTGTATGTGGAGGAGTTAGAAGGTAATGTAGATTTTAGGGCCCAAAAGTTCGTAGCGGACAAGCCAGATCTTTTAGAAAAGATATGGGAAGGGTTGGTAGCAAAACTAAATTCTGTGGGAGGACCACAAAAAAGTGTTCAGCAGTTCAGAGAGGTATGTGTAATTAATGAACTCACTCTTTTAAAAAATGTGTACTTTACTATAATTTATCGTACAACTATTAGCAATTGTTCTGCTTACATCAACACTTTGGTTATGACAAAGTGAACATCTTGTTTAGTCATGACCAATCAATTATGAGAACTGAGATGTTTAATCTTTATAAATACTGTTACACAATAAACCATAACCTCTGTGTTTTTTAGTACACCAAGAATATAACATGAGCACTCTAATTACAATGTACTGCCTGGTAAGTAAACGTCACTGTGTGTTCCAGAGATTTGTAGATTGGAAATTCAATGTTTGAAAGAAGGCCAGAAATTTAAGACTATGTGAAAGAGGAACTGTTTAATAATTTCATTATGTTGTAAAAAAAATAATAAATACATTATTGAAAATGCTGTATTATTAAATTATTTCTTGCGATATGCCATTCATGTAGTAAATTGTGTTCTTCATATTCAAGTTCTTCATTATTATCGTTCTCCTTGTCATAGACAATATTGATCTCGTCATTTTCGATATTTCTTATGCGTAAGATGTTGTGTGAAATAGCACATGAGTATATAATTTTTCCTGCAACTTCTGGTGAATAATACAGAACTCTGCGGCAGTTGGTAGGTCTTCCTAAAGGTTTCTTCTCGAACGATCAAGGGGTCGTTTACATCTCTTAAGACCCGACACAAATTTCTTATTCTGTCTCTGCAGTAAAAAAAATATACCTATAATAAGTTATCAACCTAATCCAAACATACATTAATTACTTACATTTACCTTCTCTACCCATATTTGCACCAAAACGTTCCTCTTCATTGTATAAATACTTTTCTAACGTGTTCTGACACTTCTAACGGTGAGCTGAAACCTATCGTTCCGGAACGATGACATTCTAACGATACGATCGCTATGTAACGAGACGATAGATGTTACAAAATCGCTATCAGTCCCAAAATCGTTATGGGAACGATTATCGTAAGTTAACGATGCTCTAGCGAGATCGTTAAGAGTTACAAAATAGACCTCTAAGAAGTGTTGGGTTCGATTCCTATCGTTGCCTTTTTTATTGAGAATGCAGTTGCGGAAAATGTTTTGTACTTTTTTTATTAACTCGGTAAATATTGCTATGGAAATTTTAAGGACCTTTATAAAATTTCATTTAGTGATCTTTTATCAATCCTTCGTTATTACTCAATCTGGTTTTGGATTTGGTGCAGTACCTAATGTAAAGGAATTTTGGGGTTTCAAAGATAATAGGGATTTTAATATGGTTTTCGATTTTTTAATAATCTTAGCTATTTTCTTAACTACCAATATCATAGTAGTCCGGAAATGATAATTTATTTTGGGTTCTAGAAGAACCAATATGTTGATACATAACGATGCATTGAATGATGCGTATTCATCACAGAAATGAAAATATTAGACAAATAAAGAAAGATTTGGTAAGAAATTTATGAAATTATAAAATGAATAAAATTAATTTTTCAAGTCATTTTTTTAAACTAACATTTTTAAAGACTGGCATCATTTTCAAAATTTTGAGGTACTTTACCCATTTTTCAAGATATTTTTGTAAAACTTAATTTTCAAGGTATTTAGCAGGGGTGGTTGGTGCCCAAACTTACAACGTCGACAAACACACTTGACATAGTAGAATAGTAATTTTCAGTGTTTAAAAAATTATCTAGAACTTTGTATGTTGTAAGCGGAAACCGAGACCAAATCAGGTCGTGACTCATCTACACGTTTTGTTAACACCGTTGCCATGGAAACCGCGCCTCTAGTAGCTGTATTTGGCTGGAATGGGGTCTTGTTTGAACAGTGACCGCTAGCAGCAATTCAATTTTAAATAAAATAAATGGTCCAAGGTTACTTCCCTCGCCCTTGAAGTACAGTCCAAAGAATTCCTCTTCTTTGGCAAATTATAAAAAAAAAAACTGTTTTCTGGTAACGTGATAACCGTCATATATGTAGTAAAAACCAGAGTAAATGACAAATTCCAAGGAGGTGCGGTCCGCAGACATACGGACAATATGAAAAATATTCAAAGTAAATAACCAACGGAAAAGAGTATATCAATGTACATGCTGAACTTCGATTGTTTATGTTTATACATCGAAAGAATGTCACGTAGAAATATGTTTAATTTCAATGTGTTGCTGCTCAAAACAGAAGACTAAAATTATTAATTCAGCCACAATGCAACAAAATGTTTCTAATATGATTATTATTATTCTTATTTGACCATATTTAAATAAAGACGTGGATATTCTACATTTTCTAGAAAACGATATAAGTATACATGATCGTTTTCCGGGTTAGAACCGTGTTAGTTGAGTTTTTGGGCTCAACGTTTCGCACACTTTCGTAAGTCGCATCTTCAGAAGCAGGGTTAAGAAATAAGGCAAAAGAGCACGGTAACTCAATATGTCAACCATACCAGAGGCGAAACTCTCCCTAAATATTCTAGATCTTTGGAGTTTCTGGAATCTCTACGGCGTCGGAATATACGGAAATTTTGAAATCTTCGGAATCTTTAAAGCCTTTACAATTTTCCGAATTTTTAGAATCTTCAGTATATTCATTCAGAATCTTTAAAATCTCCAGAATCTTTGGAATCTTAACAACTTTCAAAATTTTTAAAGGCGTGGAATATTTGAAATGTTCGAAATCTTCAATTTTCAAAGTTTATGGAATCTTCAATTTCAGAAATATTTACAATCTTCAAGACGTCCAGGATTCACAGAACCTTCAGAATTTTTAGAAAATTTGGAACATTTGTAACCTCTAGAATCTTCAAAGTTTCCAAATTTTTTTGAAATTTTTCTAAACCCAGAATATTCGGATCTTTGGAAGTTTTGGAATCTCTGGAGTCTTGAAATATACGAAATTTTTGAAGTTTCTGGAATCTCTGGAACCTTCGGAGTCTTCAAAATTTTAAAAATCTTCAAAACCTTACTTTTTTTGAAATCTTCAATGTTACAAATTCTGCATTTTTAGAATTTTCGGAATCTTTAGAATCATCAATATCTTTGTTCAAAATATTCTAAATCTTCAGTATATTCATTCACAATCTTCAGAATCTTCGATATCTTCATTCAGAATCTTCAGAATTATCAAAATCTTTCGAATTTTGAGACTATGGAATAACCGGAACTTTTTGGAATTGCCGGAATGTCTTGAGTCTTGGAATATCTGAATTTTTTTGAAATCTCTCGAAATACTGAAACATTTGGAACCTTTATAACTTTAAAATCTTTGGAATCTTCAATCCATAAAGTCTTTGATTGCTTATTCTTCTGTTTCTCATATGGGATTAGTGTTGGCTGGAATTATGACTTTGAATTCACTTCAAATTTTGAAATACTCGGAATCTTTAGAATCTTCAGATTTATTAATTTTTGGAATTTTCAGAACTTTCAGAATTTTTGGAATCTTTGGAATTCCTAGAATCTCTGGAATTTGGAATTTCTGAAATCTTTGAAATCTCTGAAATCTTTATGTTCCTCAGAATCTTCGAAATATTCAAATCTTCAAAATCTTTAGAATCTTTATTTAGGATCCCTACAATCTCAGAATATTCGGAATTTTGAGATTTCTGGAACTTATGGAACCTTCGTAATTTTCTGAGAATCTTCGGACTCTTACAAGTCTTCGGATTTTTGGAATCTTCAATCTCTCTAATGCTGTGAATCTTCAGAATTTTCAGAATCTTACAAATCTTCAGTGTCTACATTAAGCATCTTCAGAATCTTTCGAAACTTTACAGCCTCTAGAATTTATAAAGTCTCGGAATACCCGGATTTTTTGGAATTTCTGGAATCGTTGAAATATTTAAAATCTCCAAAATCTTTAATTTTCAAATTTGGAATCTTTAGTCTTCGAAATTTTTGGAATCTTCAAAGTCCCCAGAATCCTCAAAACTTTCAGAGTCTTGAGAATCTTGGAAATCTTCAGAATCTTAGAACATTTAGAATCTCTGGAATCTCAAGATTCTCGGAATATAATTTTTGGAATTCCTGGAACATTTGGAATCTTTATAATCTTGGGAATCTTCAAAGTCTGCAGATTTTTTTTAATGTTTAGCCTTTGAAATTCGCAAAATCCTCAAAATCTTAGAAATCTTTAGAATCTTCAAAAACTATAAAATCTTCACCAACTTTAAAATATTTAGAATTTTGAAAGTCTTCAGTCTTCAGATTTTTTTGAGATCTTTAGCTTTTGAAATACACAGAATTTTCAGAATCTTAGGAATCTTTAGAACCTTTAGAAACTTTAACATTTTTACAATCTTTAGAATCTTTAGAAACCCAGAATATCCGGAAATTTTGGACCTTTTGGAATCTCTGGAGTCTTGGAATGTATAGAGTTTGTGAAGTTTCTGGAATTTGTGGAACCTTCAAAATTTAAGGATCTTCAAAATCTTTTTTTTAACCTTCAGTCTCACAAATATTGTAAATTTTTAGAATTTTCGGAATCTTTAGAATGGTCAGTATCTTCGTTCAGAATCCTCAGTATATTCATTCAGATTCTTCAAAATCTTCGGTATCTGCAATCAAAATCTTCAGAATCTGCATCATGTTTCGAATTTTTAGATCTCTGGCCTTGGAATAACTGAATTTTTTGTAAATTCTGGAATCTCTGGAGTCTTGTAATATCCGAATTTTTGAAATTTCTGGAATTTCTGGAACTTCTGGAACCTTTGGAACCTTAATAACTCTAGAACCTTCGGAATATTCAACACTTCAGATTTTTTGAAATTTTTTGAAATACTCGGAATCTTTAGAACCTTCAAATTTATTAATTTTTCGAAATTTCAGAACCTTTAGAATTTTCAGAATCTTTCTAATCTTTCAGAGTTTCGCCTCTTGTATGGTGGACGTACTAAGTTACCGTGCTCTTTTGCCTTATTCTTAACCCTGCTCCTGAAGATGCCACTTACGAAAGTGTGCGAAACGTTGAGCCCAAAGACTCAATTAACACGGTTCCAACCCAGAAAACGATCATGTATAATCCGACAAATCTAGCTCATTAAAAAATTATAAAATTTAATTTTATGATTTTCGTTTTGTACTAAAAACCAGAGGCATGAATAACACCCCTTCTCCTCCAGCACTAGGTAATAGCAATCTCGATTACTATACTTCCTTAGCTTACGATTGGAAAGTAATAATGAATTCAGTTGAATTAATAAAAAAAACGAACAATAACATTGTAGTGAAAAATTTAGGGAGAGGCACCCTTGATTAAGGATCAAAATGTAAGAAAAGTTGTATTTGATGAACTTAAAGCACGAAAAAATGTAAACTGGCCAACTATTTCACGGGATGCAAGATTATCACAAGATTTTATAAGATAATTTCAAAATTAAGTTGATTAGGAATCAAATTATCTGAAAACTTTATAAGACAGTTTCAAGATGAAGTTAAATAGAATATTATATCAGAACATTAAAACTAAGAAGATCAAAAGATTATGAGTGTAGTTTCACTTGAGAAGGTATTTTTAATGCGTATCAGAAATAATTGGCAATCAGATGATTTCGAATTGTGTGAAGCATTCGTCAGTGGTGATATTTCTTTATCAAAACTGAATAACCCCAAGCTACTATCATTTCTTAAAAAACGTACCATGAAGTCGATTTCCGATGACAGTACCTAAGAAAAAAACTACCTGGACAAAGTGTTTCAAAAAACAAAGTAGGCTATTCGTCAAATTATAAGCGATAATCTAATTTATTTTCATGACGATGAAACAACCGATTCATGTTGACGTTATGTCGCAAATTTGTTGATTGAACCTTTAACCAGAGAAAAATCTGGCACTTCATATTTGATTAGCACAAAAATTTTGGAAAAGAATAGGAATAATAATACCATCGAAAGGTTTATTTATGAAAGTTTAACGAACTTTTTTCTTTCAGAACCAGTTCCACTCGAAAAAATCAAAAAAATTTTGCCCAATTTACCATTACCTCCATAACCTGTTGTAACTAGGTAGGGAACATGGTTAAATGCAGTTGTATTTTATACCAAAAACTAGAACAATTAAGAATTTTGTTAACGTACTCTAACAATAAATAATTAAAAATGTCATTTTGTTTTATTAGACATATTCAAATTAAGTATATTTGCATATGCATGTTTTGCATATTTAGGTGCATATTTTGACCAAAAACGTGTGCGTATCATGCGTCTATTTCTTCGACATTTTGACAGAAAACGGGCACCTTTAATTCGACGTCCAGACGCATGTGTGAGAAACGATGGCCGTTACTTTGAAATTTGTTATAGCTTCGTTGTTTTATTACTGAGTTCAATCAAAATTTGGTTAATAATAATTTGAGGCGACAAACTCATTCAAATCAAACTAATTTCTACGAGACATTCTTCAAACCTATAAACATAAACACTTCAAGTTGTTATTTTATTCTGGCTGAGAGGCAATTTTTACAACAGTATTTCGCACATGTACGGAATGAGGCCACGTTTATAGTTCCTTTCATATTCTAACTTGAACGTTGAAAATACTCAACCCGATAATACGCAGACCAGACTTGCAAAATGTGCGTCTGTTTGTTTTCACGCAAAATGCCAAACTTTTCCCCATAAGCTCTACGTGATGTGAATTTCCCCCGAACCAAACTTCACCGTCTCCAAACTCCTATGGATGCAACAGGTTTATCGCCCTCATTTTAATTCCAGATGTAGCAACAGAACGTGTGCGCCATGGACGTCGTGAAATAGCCCGGAACTGGACCGGAATGACATCTATGTTTCTCAACATACCACTGATAGTGATCTCTTCATTGGGCATTCTCTGCAACGGATATATCGTAACCGCCGTCCTCCTCACCAGACAGGTAAATATAGCACGCAACCTTACCCCGCAGTGACGTATCCATCAACTTCCTTCAAAGAACTCCTTCCAATTAAAGTTGAGACAATTTAGGAGAAATTAATTATCTCACACTCTCATTACTTTGTATACTACAAGTTATTAATAGGCTTTTAACGTGTAATCGAGCGAACGCCCGGAATTTCAAACTATTACCGCTCCAAACCGGAGTTTCAAACTACGGAGACCGTTTCCACTTTTGCACGGTTTAATTTAGTCAATATGACAACGGTGCATTTATTATTAATAATTGTGAGAGATGGAGCAATTTTGAACTTTGGCACTGGGACTGGAATCAGAATTCATTTCGATTAATTTAACATGTTCGGAGTCGGAAATTTCGAGGCATTTATTAACATTCTTCGTCGAAAAGTTGAAATAATAAGAACGGAATTAATGGCAGGAATTTTAAATCGAATGACGTTTTCTAATATCTTTAATACTGATTAATTAAATCGAAGGGAAAATTATATTGATGTGTCACGGTGTCTTTGTTCTAAAACAAATGAATCTGGGAATTACGGCATTCAGAACCCTTGCTTCGACAGAAAAATATAAGGAATTTCAAACTTTATACATTATCGACGAAGTTCTGAAGTGATTGATTGTATTAATTTAAATTTTTGTTTTATTTTCCTTGCATCGCGTTAATCCCTAAATGTATATCTCTTCTTCTAAATCTTTACTCTTTATATTATTTTCAACATAACATCAACCGCCTTCTTTTTATTCTATTTTAGACTTGCCTATATCAGGCTATGCTATGTTTTGCTAAAATGTTTAAATTTTTTATCGCCAAAATGAAGACTGGACAAATAGTACAATAAATCCAGTCGACGAAGGACTAATTTCATGTTTCTATGGTATTTCACATCTAGAATATAAAAAGTAGGTCTCCCATTTCAGCCTACCTATAGTCTGTTTATCTGTTGACGAATGCATTATACAAGTAATAACGTGGCAACGTCGCATCTGAACTTCAAAAATAAATTGTGATTATATAAGAAGAGGCCAATCAAAATATGTAAAAGTATATAGGGTGTTCTATTTGAAAAAACTTAGGTTTTTTTTTTACATTCACAAAGCAAAATTGCGGTGTAATTTTACACACTTTCTAAAGTTAATCGTTGCAATTTGAACTCAAACAGTCACATTGACGGTAATCTAACAAGACGAAAATTATATCAAAGACAAATCTTCAAAAATCCGTGGCTGTTTTTGATCGTGTTTTTTATTGTTCTCTCGGTAGTAGGCTCCATTTGGGAAATCCCTAATTTGATATTTTTCCTTGACGTTTCATACCTCCTGTAATATAAAAAAGTAGGTCTTCCATTTCCGTCTGTTTATTATCTGTTGTCTCTTGGATATTTTATTAGACCGGGTGTTCCAAAGGGAAAAAAGAATGAACCGATATATTTTGTTAATTAAATCAAAGACGGCTGATCCAAATTTGCTGAAATTTTGGGAATATAGTACTGTTATTATTGGTAATACACTGCATCTAACCAAATTAATATGTGTCCCTACTAAAAAATTGATGACATCATCCCAAAATTATATGAATTAAAACTCACTTGAATGAATAAATCGCATGCCCCCGTACCAATAGTTTCATAATACATGTAACTACGTTTATTTTAAATAATAGGGTTGATCATAATAATTAAGATAAAGATCAAAAATCATAAAAATCTAAGCAAAAAAATAAAACATTTAAAGACACAACAGTTAAAAACCAAGAAATCATCTATATTAAAACAACAAAAACAGATCATACCATTTACTTTTTGAATATTTTTTTTTCTCTATAGTTTTTTTCTAAATAGTTTTAGTTTCATGTTCCTAAGCTATATATAAAATGAGCAAAGAATTATTCTTATTCACTTTGAATATTTTAAATATTTTGCCTGTGTTTAGTCTTCCAAGATCAATCAAATCGCAATTAAAAACTTAAAAGGGTTAAAAATTGAGTATTTATAAAAATAAATATCGTGAGGAAGGTAAATTCGAAAGTAGTGAATAAATAAGTAGCTGAACGAAAATGAAGCTGAAATGGAAAAAAGAAAGTTAAAACTAGGGTAAGCAAATCAAAAGAAGGAAAGATAAAATGGGAAAAAGAGAATCAAGGAGAACGATTAGATACTGAGAGTGATATTGTTTTAAGAATTGTATAAGAATTCCCTTGTCGTAATATCTCCAAATAAAACACTCCTCACTCACCAAAAAAATATTTATTATTAAAGAAAATACAAGCAAACAGTGATAATTATAGGTAGACATATAAATGACAGTTCAAAGTGGGTTTAAAATTGTCACTCGTGTCCATTTGAAGTATTAAATCAAACGACTTGTGCAACAAAAAACCTTTTTATTAATCATGACCAGAATAATTAAACAGAAATAATCGAAAAAAGCTTACAGATTTTTTGTGCACCATGGAGCTAGTTTTAAACTGTCAATTAATGCTTTCACACTTCAATATTTCAGTCTGATTCTACTCGTTTGGGCGGGAACAAGTATGTCAGTACGGAATAACGGAGAATAAATACCATGTGATTTTTTTTTTATTTCTGTTCTAGTTAGCCATGACATGCGTACGTCAGCGGTGCAGTTGAAAAGGCTGACGTCACGTCATCATGACCAACTAGAGCAGAAATTTCCAAAATCACCCGATATTAGGGATACTAATATGTTTTTGGCACTCTGTCCCTTAACACTGTATTCCTTTAATATGGGCGGAAGTAAAAAATTTGAAAAAGGGGATTAAATTGGAGAAATTCGTAAAAATTCTATTTGGCCTATATATTCGTGTAAAAATATTTTTTTTTTTTATTATTTTGAGGTTAAAGCAGAAAACCAAGGAAACATTATGAAAGATTAATGTGATTAAAGAACATTCAAAACTAAAACGTTTAATTTATGTTGTTCCACTAATGGTGAGAAATAAGATCTTAGATTTTATTATATTTTATGTACGACTAACACCATTTTTCCACAATATGAAATATAACAGTTTCTTAGAATTTCAATATTCACAACGAAAAGCATCATTACAATTGGTATGGCGATGGATAGGCGGAGCTTAAATTTTGCCGTTTTTCTGGACAAGATATTTAAAACGATTAAAATCGATTTTACAATTAAATTCCGCCCCTCGGTCTGACAACGAATGAAAAATTCATCACAATTGAGATTGGGGCGGGTGGGTGGGGCTTATTTTTTGCATTTTTTAAAAACATGTTTTGCATAGGAGTTTCTTGTAGAGAAATAAGCATTTTGCAATAAACTCCGCCCTTTGGCTCACAACGAATAAAAACGTCATCACAATTAAAATGAGGGCGGGTGGGCGGGATTTGTATTTTCCCTTTTTGCTTAGTATATGTACGTACTTTACTTTTCACGACAAGAAACTGAAAACATGGTTAAAAGGGTAAATTTGTAGAAAAGTGTGTGGGATAAAATTTACCATTTTAAACATGTTTTCAGTTTCTTGTTATGGAGAAAAAACAATATATATTAAGAAGAAAATAAAATTAAAAACATAAGCCCCACCCACCCACCCTATTTCAATTGTGGCACTTTTTCTTTGTTCGGCGTTAGTCAAGGAGGGCGAAGCTTAATTGCAAAATCCGTATTTTTCTACAACAATTACCATATGTAAATATATGCATTAAGTAAAAACAAATAAGCCCCACCCATCCGTCTGGATCTCAGTCGTGATGAATTTTCCAATCGTTGTCAGACTGAGGGGCGGAGCGTAATTACAAGTCCATAATTTCGTACTTTAAACGTTTTAAGTTTCTTGTTGCGAAAAGAAGACTACGAGTATTAAGAAAAAAATTGGTCGGAAGTTGTTTCGACAGAACTTTCCTCGCATCTCCACAATTTACAATATGAAATATAACAATTGTTTAGAATTTCAATATTCACAACGTGTTATTCGAACACTTTCGAAAATTAACTAAAGGTTTTTTTTTATACATTCTGATTTCCAGAAGTTATATTCGTCTTCATTTTCTGGAAAGTTTTCACCATTCTTCCAGAATTTACAATATGAAATATGTATAACAATTTTTTAGAATTTTAATGTTCACAACGAATTACAATTGAGATGACGGTGGGTAACCGGAGCTTAAGTTTAGCCTTTTTTCTGGGTATATACGATTTTATATGTAAGTTCCGCCCCTCGGTCTGACAACGAATGAAAAATTCATCACAATTTGAGATTGGGGCGGGTGGGTGGGGCTTATTTTTTGGATTCTTTTTCCTTAACATATATAGGTTCTTTTCAACAACATGTTATTTAAAAACATGTTTCGCATAGTAGTTTCTTGTAGAGAAATAAGCATTTTGCAATAAACTCCGCTTTCGGCTCACAACGAATAAAAACGTTATGACAATTGAAATGAGGGCGGGTGGGCGGGGTTTGTATTTCGCCTTTTTTTTCTTAACACATGTACGTACTTTTCTTTTTACAACAAGAAAAGGCAAAATATCTGTATTCCGTACGTGATTTTTTTACATGTAATGCCTTATATTGATCTTGTACACCACCAAAAATTCTTGTGATATGTTTAACGCTGCGTCTAAAGCTACCTTACAGAAAAGTTTTTAACAAAATTAATTTTAATCACCGATAATTTTGTAAACCTATTCTTTTCCAAGGATAACTCGACTACAACTTTTGTTACTGACCCAATAATACAAAAAAAAATCATTCTTTTAATAGGTAATTATTTAAATAACGAGTTAGATAATAAAGGCTATTAATAGCCAAGATTGTTAATTAGGTAAAGTAAAGTTTATTCGTACCAAAGTATAAAAACGTAACACACCTGTTATAGTTACAATATTTTTTTTTTTGTTGGAAATCTGTAAAAATTAGAAAGTAAAACTTAAATTATGCAACCAAATATACATTTTATGTTATTTCATTTATGTCCCATTTTCTCATTTCAAAGTCCAAAAGTAACAGTTTACAATCATAACAAAACGATAAATATGTTTATATAAAATAACGGAAGAAAAAACTGCTGAAGCATTTTAGAGGCAAACAAAATTTTGTTAAAAAAAAAAGTACACGCTCAGTAAATCAATCCTAACATGAGTATGATCTATTAATCTTTATGAAAATGTATGGTTAATGTAATTGTACAGCTGCTGAAAGTGCAGGGAGGTTTCAATGAATTATTATCAGCAGGTCTATGATATAAGTTTAAATCCATGTTTATACCTCGGTTCTCCTGGAAGTTTGTTACCAAATTTTGTGCTGCAGATCTAATGGAAGTGTAATTTGCCAAAATCAGTCCTATCTTAACAGGTACTAGCCCCGCCCACCCACCCTCTCTTTTCTTAGAGGGCATGTTATTTGCCAAAACCGTTTTTATCTTAGCAGGTACTACCTACTACGTACCAGCCTCAGATAACATTGAAGCAGAAGATCGCCGAAAACAATGCCCAGTATACAAACACGGTTATTCTAGGTTAAAAATGTTACTATTTGCTACTCTCACACACCGTTTATCTTCTACTCATTTCAAAAATATATATAATTGATTGCTTTCTGCTTGCTATGGAAATGCTATTTTTAAATAAATACTTACGTAAGTAAAGTTCGGAGAAGAACTTTTTTTATTTAAAGATTTTTTCTCCAGGAAGCAACACCAAAAGCAATAAGATAAAAATGTAAGGTTAGGTAGAAGGGACGTTTCATACAGCGGTTGTTAAAATCAATTTATAAAGAGTTTTTAGATGTATATTTCAAATATTAGTTTTACAAAATTGTCAGCATATTCTAATTTAGTCTAATCACCTTTAAAACAACGAGTATTTTTTTATTCCAGGTGACGACTGCTAACAACATCCTACTGTTGCACCTAGGAGCGATCGACGTCCTTCTCGGAGTACTATTTTTGATATTCACAGCAGGATTTTCAAAATCGGAATGGCTGACCAACGGCCTTCCGTGTGTTTTCCACGGTTTTTTGTACAACATGTTGCACCCATTAGCACTGTGGACTATCTGCGGCCTCAATTGTGACAGATATTACGCCATTGCCGCTCCCCTTCATTATAGCCACATCGTCAATGCCAAAAAGGTAATTGCTTAAGAAAACATCGCCGGACTAACTCATCAATATGCACGGCAATAATTCAGAGCGGAAGCTCATCACGCAACCTAATTGTCTTGCTCTTATTCAATAATCATGTCGTAGTTGGTACACACCGACCATTTACATAATAGTAAACAAAAATAGACTCGAGTAATGACAAGTAGAATTGCTCGGGAAATCGATGGCGAGGTATTGATCGACTTTTTTCCAGGATTTTCATTATTAATTAAGCAAACATTTCTGGGGCGCTGAGCAAACTGGTTAAACAAAGGTATTTGCCAAAGTTAAATACCATTACTTTATGAATTGTGTCACCGTAAGGAGGTATGCATATGTGGGGTGTAATTAGTGAGGAAAACACACTTACTAGACCTACAAAGGTATTGCAGCTCGCGAAGAGTCGCAAGATAAATAATACGAGTACACATGGGGATGAAGTTTAACACATGAGCCACTAACGAGTGTGGTAAATGTTTTGTCATCCCACAGAAATAGTAGTCGGTAGTGATTAGTGGATGACACAAACTGCAATTTTGCGACTGGAGACATCCCTGAATTGGAACCATTACTTACAACTGTATTGATCACAACTCTTACGTAAGAAATCATACTAGGTACTGAGCTTCGACTAAAATTTTCCAACACGCCTACTCTAACCCAAAGCTTTCCATCTAAAACAGTCTCAGAACAAACAATGATTTTTTTTACTTTTCATTAATTTCAATTGCCTAAGACGTCTAGTATTAATTAATACCTTTCGACATTAGAGAACAAAGAGAACAATTTCCTCCCCAATCAATTTTCCTCGTGACTAGTAGAACACAAAACGCCAGGTATCGACTTTTAAATAAAATGCTTCAAGCGGGTAATTTACCCTAGAAGTATCCACTTTATAAAATGAGTCTACGCTGCTGTTGTTAAGTTCTTCTATTTTCGTAGTTTCTTGTTACACGTCATTACGCATTACAATACTAACCACCTGCTGCTTTCGGTCAAATTGATATGTATAGCAAGGAAGTCGACAAAAGCTATTTCGAATGCCACAGCACGTGCGAATCTGATTTTATCCCTGATTTATTTTCATTATAAACCGCAAATGGTAAATCCATGTTTCTTTTGTTTCATATTTTTCTCGCGTAATTCATTATTCAGATTTAATGAGGTTTTTTTTATAGACAACATAATAGGTTTTCTACCACAATTTAATTTAATTATACATTTAAATATAAACAAAAAAATTATTTTCTTGAAAAAATAATATTGTGCATTGTTAATTTTATTACAAAATTTTAATACATTCCTGTACAGATGTATTCATAAAATAAAAGTCGAGTTAACCATAGTGTATTAAAATACATTTTTAAATTTACGCGCAAAAGACAAAATTTATCAATTTATAATAATGTTACGATAATCGGTGATTGAAATCGACGTGGGTAAAACTCAACAATTTATTTCTTTGTACTTCAAATTTACACGACTAATTACACAGCGATTATGTACAAAATAATTCCGGCGCAACTTGACTGAACTCTCCACATTCGCTGGACTCGACTCGTTGATTGAATAATCTCGTTTCCGAAGGTGCCCTCTACTTAAACCGATATTCCCTTCTAGATGTTTCGCAATCAAGGTTTTTCTGGAATACCCATCTCGATTTCCGTTGCCAGGCTTTTCTTTAGCCTGGCGGCCGTCACCGACGATAACTCACCCATCATCGTCGTACATACTAAAACCTACAGGCGCCGTACCGGGGCGGTGTATAGGTTTCTTTCGTAACAATAATAATAATAATTTTATTCCATCAGGAACACCCAATTACATGAATAAATGAAAAGATTATAGTGTGTGCAACAACTAATTGTGTAACATTACAGTACCTAAATATAACTAATTATAAACACAGATTAAGTACATTTTACCAATACATAGAATTTGAAATTATATACAAACTATAATAATTAAGCATGGTTCAATACTGAAATAAACGTATACAAATTTACGTCACCCAAATCGAGTGACTATATCCCCGAGGGAGATAAATACCATCTTCAAGAAAAACAACTTAAGAAATTTTCTTTGGACAAATTCAATATGGTGACAATGAGTTATGTATATTGGATACCAAATCAAACTGCCGTTTTCTAAAATTAAATTTTTAAGCCTTGTGGGTTCTTAAAATTTTTGCAATTGTGGTATAAAAGCCGTATGTCTTATAGGCTTCAGCAATAACGTTATTAATATGTTCGATAAATCTAAATTTAAAGTCGAATAAAATTCCCAGGATTTCTATAAATGATAATAGGGTTAAAATAGATCATGGAAACGTTCTGCCTTTCAGTTTTGGACTTTACTAAATGCCTAAGGACTCACGATAAAAATCATACGCATCTGTATAATTGGTTGCGTAAGTGCTTCATACCTTTTTAAAAAATAAACTAATTCATTGAACAAATTATTGCGGTTAAACATCACAGTAAATAGAGAAAATGTTCAGCATTTCGTTCAAGGCACATGTTCACGCTCGTTTTCATTTCAAAAATGTTTGGTAACATCCTTTCGTCAATACTTTGGACCCATTGTTCAATTTCATGTTACAACAGGAATTCCTGACTGCTGACGAAACATTGTCAAAGATGTTTGCGGATTCTGCTCAAATCGTCTCAAATCATCAACAACTTCCTCAGATACTGAAGGTCTTGCAGGAGATTTCCCTTTATCGACACTGCCAGTTCGAACAAATCTGCTTATTACAACTCTGTTGTGAGCCTCTAATGATGTTTCTTGAATTATCAAATTACGGTATTTGGCCAGAGATTCTTGCTTACAATCGGTTACAGAATACACACACTCCGCTTACGAATGTCCCATTGCGATAATAAGACATAACAGTGAAAGTGAATCGTTTATAAAAACACGGTACATAGTAGATCTTTTAATAATAGTACTATCAATATTACAGTATTAATGAATCAGCATTTGCTTCCTTGAAAATGTTACTCTTGTTCACTTTAATATGTTAAGTGTGAGACGATCAGACCAAAGAATAGGAATTCAGTATCGTGTTGAAGAATTAAGCAGTAGGATTCCGTGGAACAAATTTTTTGCACTCATGACCTTTTTTGATAGCTTTCGCGCATTCACCAGAGTGCGGGAGGTCGAATTTCCCGCACACGTGCATTTAACTTCCCGTTGCCATGGTAACCTTAAAATACTCGGGTAGTGTCAACATTGTGACGTGTTGACGGCGCTGTCAATGGCGTTGTTTATAAATAACTCACAGTTAATCTCTTCAGTTTAAAGGTTTATTCGTCGCAAAAAATATTGTACACAACACGTTCGTGAGCCTGCTTCCCGCATTCACGCAAATGCGGCACTCCCTTCGGTCGTGCCTCAAACAAGCGTTCATGCGGGAAGCAGGCTATCCCGAACTAGTTGCGTAAATTACTATTACAATACAGCGTAAAACCATCTGCAAACAGTAACTGATGTGAGTAAAAACATCCGGAAATTCGGTGATAAAGAGCAAGAATAGCAAAGGACCAAGATTTGAACCTTGCGGCAGGCCAGATAAGGAAGCAATACTAATCGAAATAAAGTTTTGATATCTAACAAAAAATAGTCTGTTAACAAATAGGATCGGAACAGATGTACCAGAGGTTGAGTAAAGCCGAGCCTATCCAATTTTCCAAGTAAAATTTGATAATGTATTTGCTCAAAAGCCTTTTGCAAATCAGTGAAAATTACGCCACGCGTTCTTTAACATTCGGTAGCGTCACTTACAAATTGAGAGAAGACCGCCAGATTTGTAATAGTTGAGCGTTCTTTATGTCCATTTTTAATATTGGACAAATATAGATACGAGGATAGTCCCAGAAATACCCGACCTGACAGAAGACACAAAAATTTTTGGAAAAGGACTCTTTATTTTTCAAGGTAGTCCTCTTGTAATTCTATACACTTTTACCATCATTGTTCAATGGCTTCGATACCCTGTTTATAGGAAGAATCGTCGAACACCTCAAAATAGCCATTAGCCGCAGATTCCACTTCTTTATTGTTAGCAAATTTTTGACTAGCGAGCCATTTTTTCAAGTTTAGGAAGAGAAAATAATCCAAAGGGGCCAAATCTGGTGAATAGGATGTGTGAGGAAGCAACTGGAATTCGTTGATTTTGGCCACTGCAATAAGGATGTGTGAACAGGTGCATTGTCTTGACACAGCAATATTTTCTTTTTCGACAATTACGGCCGTTTTTAATTGATTTCATCGCTCAAACGCGGCAATAAGTTCGCATAATACTCGCTGTTGATGGTTTTGACTTTTTGGAGACAATCAATAAAAATGAGTCCACGGGTGTCCAAAAAACTGACGCCATTACCTTGCCAGCAGACGGAACTGTTTTCGCTTTCTTTGGCGCTGATTCGCCAGGTCCAGTCCATTATTTTGACTGTTGCTTCGTCTCTGGAGTGAAGTGATGGACCCATGTTATGAATCGACGCAGAATCTCAGCTTTATTGCTGCGAAACATTGCTCAACACCCGATTGAAACACCTTCACGGCGCTGTTTTTGTTCTATAATAAACAAACGCGGCACTCATCTTTCTTACAGCTTTTTCATGCCCAAATTTTCGGTCAATATGAGATGTACACCACTTTTTGAAATGCCCAACATGTCTGCTATTTCGCGTACTTTTAGTGGATGGTCATTTAATACTCTTTTGTGGATTTTCTTTACCATTCCTGGTGTGGTCACATCATTTGGTCGATCACTGCGATGTGCATTTTGGCAGCTCCTACGGCCTTATTAAAACTCTGCCACTCAATATTTTATAGTTGTAAACGAAGGAGCAGACCCCTCTGAAGTAGAATCCAGCTCGGCTTTAATATTGGTTGGACTGAGACCTTTCAAGTGAAACTATTGTATCACATAACGATGACCAATTTTTTTCCATATTTACAACTTCACTGAGATCAGTCGCTAT